TGTTGGGGATCAACCGCGGCGGTCCGCGTTGGCGCCATCGCGAACATACCAAAAGTAAAAACACTAGGGTGATCCAAAAGCGCACGAGAAAAAGTAAAGTCGGAATTTTTATGCTCTCACCCCATAGGATTGTTCTATACCGAAAAAAATATACCTTTATTTTTTTAATTTTGAAATCAAAAAATATTTACAGGCCGCTCAAAGCACCCAAAGTTTTCCATGTATTTTATATGGGGAAAAAGCAACTTTTCGTAGAAATGGTATAGAATAGTTAAAAATCAATATTTTTCTAACAGAAAACTCTGTTTATCAGCAGGAGATTCCTAATAATAATACCCAATTGTTTATCTAACCATTTTTTCATTGCAACTATAATTTTTAGGTCTGCCAAAAACCCACAAGAACCCCGAAAAATGCAATGGGGCGACCAATAAAAACCCGTTAGTATTAAGAAATGGTTAAAAAAATAATTGGGTATTATTATTGAAAGTCTCCTGAAGAGAACCATAGCTTTCCGATCGAAGAATATTGACTTTTAAGAATTCTATACCATTTCTACGAAAAAATTTATTCTTCCCATATCAAAATACATGTAAAACTTTGATCGCTTTGAGCGACCTCTAAATATTTTTTGATTTCAAAATAAAAAAATAGGGGTATACTTCTTCGATATAGAATAGTTCTGGGGGGTGAGAGCATTACAATTCAGACTTTACTGTTTTTGGACCACCCTAATCTAAACCCTGTGTACTAAAAGGGCTTGGTAAAGAATTTTACCGCCTAACGGTCTGCCACAATAAATTGATTCCTCTCCTTCCGATGATATCAAGCATTTTTTCACTTATGCTTCTAATCTGAGTTAATCCATCACAGGTTTTGCTGGGAGTTAAATATCATTAGATTATAGTGAAAATATGCTAAGTTCACTTTTTCTAAAAACACATTGTAATGCAAGAAGCAAGAAAGGTGAAAAATGTATCGTTTCCAAAAATATCAAACCACCTCTTTTATTTCTAACCGTTACTATTCAGTGATAAGCAAATCTGCTAAGCCCAAAATACTTGCGATATATGCTATGATTTGTGAGCATTTCTAGCACATAATAGGTTTGTTCGCGTACTATCAGATTTTCCTATTCGTGTACACAAAAATTAAGTAAAGTAAGGGAAATTGAGAGACCAAATTAACATTTCATTCTTATGAAAAGCTGCTAGTTTCTACTGGAAAAATTTGTGCCAGCAGCCATTTGCCAGCAAGAAGATGATCAAAGTCATCTGTTTTCAATTTATAAAAATATGGAAATTCATTTTAGATATAGATGTAGATTAATTATTATGATTTTTAGGTTTGAAATAACTTATTAGGACTGCAAATGTAAACACAAATACTCATTTACGCATATTTGATTAGCAAATTGCTTTAGGAAAACTTTTAATTTATATTTTTTTCATGTTTCCGGTTTTATGCTTTTGCATGTAAACAAAATTTCAATCAGCTGTACTAAAAACTTGCAAGTTTTTGCTGGTTATGCGTTCGCGTACTTTTGCTAAAATTTCTCTCTTTGAGAGAGAACTGAAAAAAATTCAATAGAATTTTGCTGCTGACAGTTTTCTGACGGAAAAATACGCGAATACACCTAATATCAAAAATTTAATATTTCAAAATTCAAAATTAAAAATAATGTTTACGATGTGTTCCCTCTGGCCTACCAAAAACTGAACGAAAAGGGGTCAAAAGTTGTGGTTCTGATGGAAATCACGAATCACCGAAATATTTTAGAATTAAATCAGAATACTTTGAAGTATGAACGAAATATTACCTAGAAGCCATGTATTTGGGCCAAAACCCTCCAAAACCATTTGTTCTAGATAAAAGCATCATGAGTAGATCCTGGATACCTGGCATCAACATTCCGTATTGGCATGTGGTAATCACACATCCATAAAAAGAAAAAACAAGTAAGAAAGTCTAAGTTCGGGCGGAGCCGAACATTAAATACCCGGCGCAAGTATTAAATATATGTTTTTCACCTTTACGAAGGCTACCGCTACATGGTAACCTGGGGTGTATCAATTTTGAGTAAATTAGCGTCCTTAAATTTCGAAACATCGCAGTTTCAAGCATTTCTGAAATTTACCGTTATATGAAAAGCGGCCGTAATTTTAGTCCGATTTCAATAATTTTCAACGTTTTGCTTTTATGTGGCAAGCACAATAAAAATACCGAGTTTGGTACAAATTGGTAGAACTGTTACCGATATACATATGTGTGATTATAAGTGGGCGGTGCCACGCCCATTTTCCAAAATTTTACAATAAACGTATTTCTTGGTAAAGAATTGTTGCAAGCATCAATTTTGAATAAATTAGCTTTAATATTTACTGATTTATCGAAGATTTTGTATTTATCTAAATTACCGTTACATGGGATGTGGGCGTGGTTATTGTCCGATTTTTCAAATTTTCGTCTATTTAGTATACTGTACCAAGGCCAACAACTGTGCCAAGTTTGGAAGAAATTGGTGCAGCGGTTACCAAGATACACACATGTAACCATAAGTGGGCGTGGCTACGCCCATTTTCCAAAAATTTATAGTATTCTTATTTTTTGTATAAAAATTGTCGTAAATATCAATTTTGAGTGAATAATCTTCAGTAATTACTAAAATATCGCAGTTTTCGTATTCCCGAAAATTACCGTTATATGGGATGTGGGCGTGGTTATTGTCCGATTTCTTAAATTTTCGGCCATTTAGTATGCTGTATCAAGGCCAACAACTTTGCCAAGTTGGGAAGAAATTGGTGCAGCGGTTACCAAGATATACACATGTAACCATAAGTGGGCGTGGCTATGCCCATTTTCCAAAAATTTATAATATTCTTATTTTTCGTCTAAAAATTATTGTAAATATCAATTTTGAGTGAATTATCTTCAGTAGTTCCTAAAATATCGCAGTTTTCGTATATCTGGAAATTACCGTTATATGGGAAGTGGGCGTGGTTACAGTCCGATTTCGCCCATTTTCAATACCAGCCTACCTTGGATTAACGGAAACCTACATACCAAATTTCGTTGAGATATCTAAATTTTTGCTCGAGTTATCGTTTACACGGACGGACGGACAGACGGACAGACAGACAGACATGGCTTAATCGATTTCTCTTTTCATTCTGATCATTTATGTATACATTTGTCTATATCTATCTCGATTCGTTTTGGCTGTTACAAGCAACCGTTATGTGAACAAAACTAATATACCCTTGTGCACAAGTGCGCTCGGGTATAACAAACCATGTAATAACAATAATGCAATATAACATACATACGTACATATAACTTACCAGTAAAAGATTCAAATTAAAATATCATTTTCTGTATACATATATGTATATAAGTGGCATGATGTGCACATGTGTCCCATCTATACATCCAATACTAGGAAACTTTCACCCCTATTGCGTGTGTCGACTGGCAGTAGAATAGAAATTTGTTGATTGAGTCGATCATCTTTTATTTTGCTATTGTGTAACTTGATCGATAAAAATTTGTACTATTGTGAATGGTTGACCAAATTGTAAACAGCTGTTTGTTTGTTTACATTTGTTTCTTTAGTGTTTCATTTATATCATTTTTAAAACAATTGCTTTATTATAAAATTAAAAAAATGGATAGTTGAAATATGGTTTAGTGATGAGGAAGATGATGTGGAAGGCAATAGATTAGTAGAGTTGGCTAAAGCAAGAAGGAAATTGCGAGATTCGTCGAATCCCTTGGAGTTGGAAGATGAAGTGTATGTACATACATATGTGAATTTTATGAATAGCAGTTGCGTTCCAGATGCTTCACGATTTGCAGGAAAAGCTGTTTTCGCCATTAATAAACCTTATGGAAGCTGGCCCCGTGGAACAACTTCCTGTAAAAACTCGCAAATCGTGAAGCATCTGGAACGCAACTAGTTTAAGCAATTCGGTACAGTTAAGTTATTTGTACAATGATTTTGGGTATTTGTGTCCAAACGCGTGACCCGATTTAAAAACTTTAACATGCGCGTGTAGTGAAAGAATTAAACTTTAATTTAAAATAAAAATTTCAAATTTCCGAGTACTAGTATATTAATAAATTATGCAGTTTTTCGTAAATTTTGATGTTAGTTCTGCGCGAAAACACTGTGGATGGCGCATCCGGAGTTATATGCACAAGATATGTTGAATATCTTTCACAATAGAAGCGGAGCTTCCGCCCCTCTTCTCTGGGAAGACAGAAAGGAGAATTCTACTTATTAAAGGTTATAATCCGTAAACGCCTAAGCAGAAAGAAGTTGTGCCCAAAAATACTGTGGTCAGTGAGTTCACATTTTCTATGTCGAAGTGCTAATTTTACCCCATTTTGAAATGGGCCCGGGGTCTGTAGAAGGGTCAGAGAGGGGAAGAATGACTTGTCTTATAGTTTGGATTGTGCTCTTTCTAATGGATGGGGTTTTAGGTGCCACACCCCTTCACCTTCGCTGCACGCCACAAAATCATAGTACAAATAACTAAACATTTCCCAAGAAATTTACTAAACAAACAACTTTACAGGTTTTTGAAAAGTTATCGTTTGCCGAAAGCTGCATTTAGATATTTGCTTGCAACATTGGAAAGCAAGCTACAAGCTGGTGTAAGAAAAACCTCGATACCCCTAATTTTAAAACTAGCAGCGACTTTAAGATTCTGTGCTCAGGGATCCTACCAACTGAGTGTAGGAAACGATAGTAATATTGGACTTGTTTCATGCTTTGGAAGAGCACGTGTGTAAAAATTGGATAAAAATGAATTACACTGATGAAGAGAAACGAAAGGCGAAAATGTATATTTTTGAGAAAAGTGGAATTCCAGGCGTAATAGGTTGCATTGATGGGACACATATTAAAATCGTTGCCCCAAAAAAGGATCCTCAACACCTTTACTATAACCGAAAAGGGTACTTTAGCTTAAACGCGATTATAGTAAGTATTTAGGTAAAATATTAAATGAAAGTATTATTTAAATATGTTCATTTACAGGTCTGTGATAACGCTCTGAGGATTCGTTACATCAATGCAAGATATCCTGGGGCAACACACGATGCTACGGTTTTCAATATGTCTTCTTTAAAACCCCAATTAGAAGATGACTACCGCAGGGGTGAAAGGAATTTATTATTAGGTTTGTTATTATCAAATTTATTGGACATTTCGATGGCTTTTACACAAATTTGTATATAATTTACAGGTGACGCAGGATATGCTTTACAGCCGTATATGCTTACCCCATTCCGGAACCCCGATGACGGATCAGTGCAGGGTATATTTAACAAAAGGCATGCAAAAGCTAGGAATATTGTGGAACGCACGATTGGGGTGTTGAAAAATCGGTTTAGGTGTTTGTTAGGTGCTCGTGCGCTGCACTATGAGCCAAAGAAATCCACCCAAATAATAAACGTTTGCGTAGCACTGCACAATATATGCATTTTTTACAATGTTGAGTCTTCGAATGAAGAAATTTAATAGCCAAGACCCAGAAAACTATGAAGATCAAGGTGACATCAATGTTCAAGCTGGCCATATAAATCAAGAAGCCGTAGAAATAAGAAATAACATTTTACATTATATGCGACTTCAGTCTTAAATCTTTTTTTTATTGTTTGTACGTATTCATTGAAGCTCAGTTTTTTTAAGTTTTATTAATTTGTTATAATTCAGGTAATTCAAGTTTAAATTAAAATTAATGTAACATAAAATGTGAAAAATTGAATATTAATAAATACCTACTACTTAAAGAATAATCGTAAGCATAAACAAAAATTCTTCATTTTCAACTAAATTTGGCCATTGTTAAAAATATAGCCTCATGTGTACAAATTAATAGGGTCGAGACATTTTGACAAGTTTTGACTATTTCTTTTGTTTGTTTAATATTAATTAACTTTTTATAAAAGTATAGTATATATGTTTCACCGAAATTTCAAACTTTATCAGAAATAAAAATAGTATTTAAATTATTTTTTGTAGCCCATTAAATTTTAATACAATAACGTTCAAGTTAAAACTTAAAAATTGCCGTTTATTATACTAAGATTTAATGGGCTACAAAAATTAGTTCAAATACTTTTTTTATTTCTGATAAAGTTTGAAATTTCGATGTAACTGCAGTTTTTATAATTTTTGCACAAAGTCTGAAATTAGGATTTATATAGTTTTTGTTACATATATACTATAATTTTATAAAAAGTTAATAAACATTAAACAAACAAAAGAAATAGTCAAAACTTGTCATAACGTCGCGACCCTATTAATTCGTCCGACACCATACATATACATATATCCGTCCTGTATTATATATATATTATATATAACATATATTTTTGACCCCTGATATGCTCACATATTAGTATAAGTCCAACACATAAATACATTCATATACATTCATACATATGTATTTTCATTTTGAAGGTAAAAGCTAAGTACTCTTAAGTACATATATATTTAAAGTAAATAATAAATAATATTTCACATTATAAAAAATAAAATAGGAATTTCTCAGCTCATTTCATTTTCAATTAAATTCAGTCATTGCAAAATACTTTTTAAAAACTATAGTAAGTATTACTTAAAAATTGAACCCAAACGTGGTATTTTTTTTAAATTTAGTTGAAATAACATACCTTGTGGTGCAAAAGTAAGCAACGAAATTGTACTTAATTTATTTTGTCATCTACTTTTACTGATTTATTTTTAATTATTTTTTATAAAACTAAAGTTCATTTTATATCAGGCTGATCTATATGATAAACTATACAAATCAAAGTTTGCAACTTTGTACAAAACTAATAACATTTAACAAATTTAAAAAAAAGTTCATCAAAATTTCAAACCTTTTATCAGGCTTTTTAAAAACTATTTAGGTATTCAGTTTTGTAGCATATTTAATTTTATAATAATAAAGTGCAAGTTTGAAGTGTCTGAAATTTACCAACTCTAATTTACAGTCACTTCAAAATTGCACTTTAATTATACTAAAGATTAAAATGCTTCAAAACTGAATATCCAAAACGTTGTTAAAAATTCTGGTAAAAATTTGGGAATTTTAATATTTTTTTATATCAAATGTTGTGAGGTTTGTACAAAGTTAGAAACTTTGATTTGTATAGTTTATGATATGCAAAAACCTGATATAAAAAGAAATTTAGTTTTATAAAAAAATAATTAAAAATAAGTTAGTAAAATTAGATGACAAAATAAATTAAGTAGAATTTTGTTGCATACTTTTGCAAAAGACTGTATATTACCGTTTCAGTTAAATTTAAAATCACAAAGTTTGCCTTTAAGTCTTAAATGTATACTTACAAAATTAACGAGGAAACGTTTTCTTTTTGCAGCTGCAATAGTTGAACTTTTAGTTTGAGTTTCTCAGTTCTATGTCTGTTTTTATTTGCAACCTCTTCTTTAAGAAGCATTAGTTTTTGTGTTTTTTAATTCTAGTTTCTCTTTCTCTATAGCCAGATTTTCTTTTTGAAGGTTGTATGACTTCCTTACAGAACTTTCTGTGTACTTCAGGCTCTTTATTATATTATGCTTGAACTCACATTCGTTGTCTTTTGGGGTCAGGATGACCCCAATGAAACGCAGGTACAAAATATAAGAAAGGAATATAAATTGTGGCCGTTTAAAATACAAAATAAAAAGGGAAACCCCCCAATTTTGTTTTACCGTTTGTCTGTCCCATGCTTGAACTCACATTCGTTGTCTTTTGGGGTCAGGATGACCCCAATGAAACGCAGGTACAATATATAAGAAAGGAATATAAATTGTGACCGTTTAAAATACAAAATAAAAAGGGAAACCGCCAAATTGTGTTTTATTACGCTGTGTGAGTGTCATTTCAGTGTTTCTTTTCGTAGTGAAAGCATATCGGTCAGTAAATTGTACGTTGTACAAAGTAAAAGATGGAAGTTTTCGTTGAAGATATACCTCAAGGTATTGAAGAAGAGTTTTCTAACTGTGATGATTTCGATTATATCGAAATGATAAATTTCACAGATGAAGAGGAGGATGAAAACTACGAAGAAGATAATATAATACCTCTAAACGTGTCCCAACCTGAGCGCCTCTATGGTAAAAATGGACTTGTATGGAATACGAGCTCAAATCCAGTAACCCAACCACGAGTAGCAGAAATCGTTCGCGTAAAGCAAGGAATACCTAGCCGTTTCGCTCAAGATATTTTAAATCCTATAGACGTTTTTCAGCAGTTATTCACTTCCGATATAATGGACATTATCGTACGCTCTACAAATCGTAAAGAGGCTGATTTTTTCGAAAAAAAATCCGGTTTCTGGCTGCCGCCAGAAAATTCAAAAGAGTTGTACGCATTTTTTGGTTTACTAAGTCATGGGACGAGGAGCTCGTCGATTTGTGTTTCGAATAAAATAAACACCACTATTGCGAATGTCGACTGGCAGTAGATAAACGACTATTAAGCGATTGTCGATTATCAATGCTATTGTGAGTGTCGCTTAGTCGCTCAATTAGCGACTGTGAATACTTTTTAATCGCTCATCCTTCTATTGCTGTTTTTTAGTCGTTGGAGTTAGCGTTTATAAAATTTACATAAGAAAGTGTTACCTCAGATATACTGAGATGTTACTATAATGGATAAAAAGTAAGTCAACTAAACTGGAACTTGTAAAAAATTATGAATTATACATATGTATGTATGTGTCTGAATTACAGATCAAAAATTGTAAGCAACAAAAGGCAACTTGCGCGGTTGGTCGAGCTGACGCAAGAGTATGAGGACATAGGCAAGGAATTTTCGGAAAGAGTTGGGGCGGTAGCTCCGCTTCTATTGTGAAAGATAGGCAATATATCTTGTGCATATAACTCCGGCTACGTCATCCACAGTATTTTTGCGCAGAACCAACATCAAAGTTTCCAAAAAATTGCATAAATTATTAATCAACTAGTGCTCGGAAATTTCAAATCCTTATTTTAAATTAAAGTTTAATTCTTTCACTACACTTGTATGTTAAAGTTTTTAAACTCGGGTCACGCGTTTGGACACAAATACCCAAAATCATTGTACAATTAGCTAAACCGTACCGTATTTCTTAAACTTCCATAAAGTTTATTAAAGAGGAAAATAGCGTTTCCGGGTGGGGTTTAGTAGCGCTCACAACTATTTCGGGCTATTCCGTCCAAAGGGGTGGCCCGATCCAAAAAAAAATCCACACACTTGTAGTCAAGGATCTACGCATTATTTTAACACTCACTTTTGTAAATTTTGGTCACTAATTTATTTAAAAATTGGGTTTGAAATATCACATTTATCACTCCTATTCTCCTTAAAGCAGCCACTTCACCAATACATTTTTGTATTCCCCTTCACTTTACACTTTACTCGATTAGTTATAACTTGCTTTACGACTTTAATATTAACCAATTAATCACAATTCATTAAATAAAAACACCTTCAAAATCACGCGTCTGAATTTGGTTGTATATGCAAATTAAATAGCGGAGTTCAGCTGTCAAACTCCAAAATATGCAAAAGAATGAGAGACAAAAGAAGATAGGATATAACCCAGTAAGCATTAAAAATATACAAAGGTGTTCTCTGCAAAAGGTGTTCAAAAGCAATTATTAAAAAATTATGTAAATGAAACACTAAAGAAACAAGTGTAAACAAACAAACAGCTGTTTACAATTCAGTCAACCATTCACAATAGTACAAGTTTTAATCGATCAAGTTACACAATAGCAAAATAAAAGATGATCGACTCGATCGAGAAATTTCTATTCTACTGCCAGTCGACACTCGCAATAGGGGCCAAATTGTTATTTTTAGACTTTTCTTCCCCTGCCATTACTGCACAAATGATTGCAGATCTGTTCCTTATTTAACTGAATCAATTCTTTTAAAACTACCTTCATCGCTGGTTGCGCCATTCCCAAATTGACTTAAAAAAACTTGCTTCTGCGAATAATCGAAGAGCTGCGCAAACTTATGAGAGCGGAGGTATTGCAGTTGGACGATGACTCTATCTTGTCTGAAGTCGTTCCTCAATGTATTCACCAAAAACACTACAGAGTCTTATGGAAGTCGCTTTGAATCTGAAAACAAAAAGATAATAAAAAACCAAAGCGTTAACTTTTACTTACAGTTCAGGCGATAGCTCTAGGGTATTGGAATTATCCCTTAAATGCCTGATTGAGGCCGCGTTCGTGCACTCCTCTCCCTCTTCAAAAAGTAGTCCTACCGAACTTAGCATTATTACAGACTTTTATTTAAAGCTATTTACATTAATTATTGTATTTTACTACACAGCTTGTTTACAATCACTTGCTCTTTGCCGAACTGTGAATAACTTTACAGGAACTGGAGATAGTAGCCATTGGTAATACACTTCTTATTTTCAGTTGCGTGGCCAGCTAGCAATCGAACTGTGGAACATAGGAGTACTTGTGTAATAAAACTGGTCAAAAGTCAGATTTATTAACTTTGTTAAAAATGTCTTTAAACATATTGACCCGTAGTTATAGTCAAAATAAAGTCGACTTTAAAGTTAAAAGCAG